ATTTTATATCAAGCATTGGCGCATTTTCTTGTTCTTGTGACCAAAAAAATGATACGCCTCTACTTGCTGAGTCATGTCATGCACATAAAAGTGGAATCTACAGTAGTATACAAACGTCATTGGCCAATCAGAAAATTGCAAATTAGTAAAGAAGTTGCAGTGCACAAGAAGAGAGAGAGAGTGAGAGAGAGAGAGAAGATACGTTAGGAGGCTTACATGCAGAGGTGTTGGCAATTATCGGATGGAAGTATGGATAACTGAGAAAGTTTGACAACGAAGATAGTAGAAATTATTTCTTAATTAATTTATATTGTTAAAGTTGTAAGAATATATGAAGGTTATATAATCATATTTAACCGTTTTAAAAATATTTCAACTGTTAATAAAAAAATTTTAAGTTAAAACTTCTAATTTACCTATTTAAGTGGATTTTGACTGAATTTAAATTTTAAATATGAAATTACTTAGATTATCAAATAAACTTTTCATATTAAGTGCTATAATTTAATTTTTTAAACTAGGTAAATAAGTCAAACATAACGAAGGGAAAGTGATGAAAAAAATTATGATTTTGAGGCCTTTTATTAAATAATAATAATAATAATAATAATAATTCTCTCTTAAGGATTGGCCTGCCAACCCCACTGCTCGGGGCTTAGTTCGTAGGCCCATCATGCACGGGCTTAGCATGTTAGGCTCCCGTTCTTTTTTTTTTCTTTTTTCTTTTTTTAACAAATATTTTTATGTTTTTCAGGAAAAAAAAATCATTTTAAAATTTTATCAAAACTATTTACTACTTAAAATTTTCAACTAAGTATATATATATATATAGTTTGTTTTGGCCTTCATAAAATAAAGTTAAAAAAATTGGTCCATATTTCAATTGTGGGTTAATTTTTATTCTTTGATAATATAAAGTTTAGTCATTATCAATTTTTGAAATATAATATTGATAACATAAAAAATTGTTATATTCATCAAACATCATATAAATTAAAAATGAAAAACGAAACTGATATAATATTACATGTTGTGCCGCTTAAAAGTTTTTGAATGATTAATGCAAACTAGAATGTGTTGGTTTATATATATAAAAAAATCAATAAAAAGATTAGTGATGTTTTTTTTTTTTAATTTATACAATTCTAATAATATTTTGTGATCATAAGTCGTCTGAGCTATTAAAAAAAAAAAAAACGAAATGGAAGAATGCAGCAAGTGTTTAGTTGCATTTTAAAATAGGTAATTTGTAAACTGTATAAGTTAATTATATTTTTTCTTATTATCATATATTAATATTACATTTTTTTTATCTATTTTTCTTTATTAATTATATACTTAATAGAAATCATCATATTGAAAGACTCCTTTAAAGCCATGCATACGTGTCTGGCGTGCGTTTTGGCCTTACTCTTTTTTTTTTTTTTTTAATTGCTTTTACTTTTTTCAAGTTTCTTTTGTTTTCTCAAAATCAAATTCCTCCGATAATTAATTTTTATTTTTCATTTTTTTTCACACAACTTCACAAAAAAAGAAAAGATAACACTAAAGTAATGATTATCAAATTCCTCCGATTATTTTCTGCAATTTTTCCTCTTTTTTTTCAGAAATTATTATCATAAGTAATCACTATTGACAAAAATTCTCCATAAAACCTTACAAAAAATAATGATTGATTTGCATAATTTTTTACAATGATAGAGATTTTATAATTAATAATTAATCAATCTAAAATGCATAATTATTAAAAAATTTATAACGATAACACTAAAGTAGAGTAATACAACACTAATTTTTTTCTTTAAAAATAGATAAATACTACCTATAAATTGACGTTTAGGAGAGAAAATAGTCTAAATAACTTGAATTTGGAGGTTAATAATTTATCATTTTTCTTGTTTATATTAATTTATATATGATGCACTTTAAAATTGATCATAATTCTCCAATATATCTCACTACAAAAAAAAAAAAGGAGTTTAGCGACGAAATATTCCGTCGCTAAACGCTTCGATTCCATCGCTATTCTTGAATAGCGATGAAAAATATTATGTTGCTATTTCGCTTTTTGCTAATTTTTTTAGATGGAATACTCGGTTCGTCGCAACATTTAGCGACGAAACATCCGTTGCTAAACTAAAAAATCTGTCGCTAATCTTGTTGCCCGATCGATCATTTTAGTCGTAGCTAATTCGTCGTTATTCCGTCGCTAATTTTGAAAATCAATCCGTCGTTATTCTGTCACTATTTTAAAAAATGAAATTGTAACCAATCTATCGCTATTCCATCGCTATATTTTCAAAAAAAAATATATTTTTTTCATTTTATTTTGGTTTTTTTAAAATCATTAATATTGCATTTAATATTTAATAATTAATATTGGATGTAATAGTTAACAATTAAAAGTAATAACGTATAGATTGAAAATGCATTAATTTTAACAATAACATTCGAGTAGCACATTCGATAAAATAAAACAAAGTTACTAAATTTTGTTCTATCACTCATCCTCACTCATCTTGCTCGTCTAATCTCATACCCTCCTTCCGGTACTATGTGGAGGGCTCAACGGGAGGATCGAGTGGAGGCTGAATGGGAAGGCCGTATGGAAGGAACGGTAGATTGCTAACTAGTTGACGGATCTATAGGCAACCAATAAATTAAAAATTTCTTAAGAAATAATCAACAAAATTTAATTAAAGTATGTCCAAAATTATATAATTTAAAAATTATCTTAAAACAAACAACTAACAAAATTCACGTAATAATTAACACAATTAATTAATTAATTAAAAATAACAATTAAAAATTAAATAATTATATTTTAATCTAAAAATTAAAAATAAATAAATTAACAATAAATCAAGCTTAACTAAATTACTTAAAAAAAACACATTAATAAAATTAAACCTAAAAAATTAACATAATTAAAAAATTTTAGGTTAAAATTAACATAAAAATTAACACAATTAAAAAATAACACTTAAAAAATTAAATAAAAAATTAACAAATTTACACTAATAATTAACAAATAAATTAATATAATTAAAAGTTAACATAATAATAAAATAATAAAATTAACAACATTCAAATAATTAATCAACTAACAAATAACAAAATTAACCTAAAAGTTTATAACATTTATTTAATTTTAAAGAAAAAAGAGTTAGAGAGAGAAAGTTTTACCAAAGAGACCAAGGAGAGAGAGAACGAGAGATTTTGTTGGATTTTGAGGGAGAAAGATGCACCTCACCGAGTTGAATGGTTTGGGAAGTTAATTGGTGGCGAGGGACGAGCATGGGTGGTGGTTGTTTGGGCGATGGTGGATTTTTGGGTGGAGGAGAGAGAGGATCGAATGGGGAAGAAGAAGAGAAACTATCCGTTTATAGGCTCGGAGATTAGCGACGGATACGATTCCGTTACTAATTCGTCGCTAATTAGTGACGGAATCGCCAATTTGTCGCTAATTAGCAACGAAATCACAAATCCGTTGCTAATTTGAACCGTGTGGGTGGGAAAATATCCACCTAAAATTTCAAAATCCGTCGCTAATTAGTGAGGAATTTCAATCCATCGCCGAATAGCAAATTTGTCGCTAAATTGAACCGTGTAGGTGGGAAAATTTTCACCCAAAATTTCAAAATAGCGACGTAATCGCCAATCCATCACTAATTTGAACTCGTGTGGGTGGAAAAATTTCCACCTAAAATTTCAAAATAACGACGGATTTCAATCCATTGCTATTTTGAATGCAAAATTAGCAACAGATTTCACAATCCGTCGCTAATTGGCGATTTTGGTGAGAAAATTTTCCCCCAAAATCCCAAAGTTAGTGACGGACTCGACGTTCGTTGCTCATTTGATGGGAAATTTCCCCCAAAATCTGAAACGTTGGCGTCGTCGCTAACTTTGGTAGGAAATTCGCCCCCAAAATCCCAAAGTTAGCGACGAATTCTAAAATTCATCGCTAACTTCACTAAATTATGAGAATTTTAGTGACGGAAAAAATTCCGTCGCTAATTTTTTTCATTTATCGACCACATGGTCGTCGCTAATCAATCGTTGATTTTGACACTTTTTTCTTGCCTTATTTAGCGATGGATTTTTAACCATTGCTAAGTATCCCTTATTAGTCCGTCGCTAATCCGCCGCAAAACACAATCTTTTATAATCCGTTGTTAATCGCTAATTGGTATTTTTCCGATAGTGTCTCAAAAATATGATTTTTTGTTCTTTTGAAGTGGCATGGGCACATCAAATAATTCATAGCTTGGTCTTAAGATTTTCAAAGGTAAATTTGTAAGTACATCTCAACTAATGACAATTAATGTGCAAAATTACATCAATGAAAAAAAAAAGAATTATGAAGTAAAAAAATGAGATTTTTTTTTTTTTTTTTCACAATATCATGGACTTTATGGACTGCAATTAAACACCTTTTCAATAAAGATTAGTCGAGCACCATTTCAAGGGCTGGTCCTGGCTTCTTTCAATAATTGACTGCCTTAATTAGATTTTTATGTTTATAAAAAAATAATATCAGATATTTATTATTTAGTTATCTGAATTATTACATTCATAAAATATATTTAAACTTAAAAATAAAAAATACATGATATTAAATACTAGAAATACATATAAAATTCAAACTTTTACCAAGATTAATATTGATTCATTTTAATTTCATTTACCTAGATTTTCAATTTTATTAAAATATTAAAACTTGTTTTATAAGGTTACTCACGCTAGCAGCCAGGTAACCAGGCAAGTAAAAACTATATCACTTGGCAAACTCCCAAAAGCTGATTATATAGCGAAATTCAAGCATAAACTACTTACAGAAAACGCAAAAATACCCATAAAACAATGGAAGTACCACGCAAACCAGAAGCTACAACCCACTTTTTTGTGAATCCAATAATCGTTTAAATTCAATTCAAACTCAATTTGACAAAGGCCTCCCTCCTAAAACATGGAATCATCTGTATAGAGTACGTAGCTCAGAAGGTTATGAGGTCATCCTTAGAAGAATGCTGCTGCTTCGGGTCATGCACACCTTCAGATGCAGCTCCACCCTTCTTACCGAAGATCATTTCATCAAGATCATCCATCATGTCATCATTGCTCCCTCCGTGGGTTCCACCTCGTGAACCTGCAGGTTTCCTGATCAAAGCATCTTCTTTTGCATGAATGGGTGAATCAGGCTCAACGGAAACAGGAATCATAGCAGGTTCAGGTACAGCAGGAACCACTGATGGGGTTTTCAACTCTTCATACTTGGAGAGAACTTTCTGGATCTCATCATTCACATTCAGAGCTTCAAAAAGCAGGGCCTCATTATCTCCTGCTGTCTCAATGATTCTTTGTACACTCGTTTGGGACTGACGACACTGCTGGACTAGGGTAGTCGTCAAATCATCCTGCCAATAGAAACAAAGCATTCCATAACAGAGATCTCAAACAAGAACCAAATACTTGTTGCTCAACTTCTGATATAGATTTCTCCACAAAACCAACCACTGCTCCGTCCCGCCCCAACCCAAAACAAGAAGCAAAAGAAGCATCATCATCATGACTCCACCAACATCAACAAAATTCCATAATGGACACTTGGAAAGAGAAAACAAAGATAAAAAAAGTCGCATCTCGAAACAGAGGAATTAAGGAAATCAGCACACACATCAAGACAAACAAATTACATCTACAACACAGAAAGTGTTGAATAACAATCTAAGAGGATTTCCATACAGCAAGATGCATCACAGCCAATCTCTAGGGTTAACATGACATCAGCTACTTCTAGTTTTAACATACGATGAAGCACCATTAACTACTGGGCAGCCTCCTAGCTCTTGTAGAAACTTGGGTCACTGGACAGAAGTCCTACTAACAGAGTTATTGCTTATTCAAAGCCTTTTGTTTTTTATGAGATTTTATTGTAGTGCATCTATTCACCACCTACCATGAAGCACAGATTCAATTAATATTAGCAATATGTTTCAGAATTCATGGAAGAAAATGTAAATTTTTCTTTTTCTTTTTTTTTTTTTTTTTTTTTTTTTTTTTTTTGTAAAAAAAAGGAAAGAATGAAAGTGAGATATTGTTTAAAAAAACAAGTAAATTTTGTAAGTTCTCTTGATGGTAGTCTCATCAAAATAAATTTATTCTTACATTTTTTTCATCAACCTTAAGCAGCCAGAATGCTTATTGGAAGGCAAAAGAAATTTTCCAAGACAGAATGCTAGGTGGAAGGAGGCAATTCAAAGAACTTCAGGGAGGTTTATGATAAGCTCAGACATACAACGCAACACCCAATCTTGAGATATTGCAATATATGCTCCATTCTTATCTGTGAGGACATGTGCAGTATAACAGGTTAAAGCATCATAGGATTAACGGTAAATAGCTGGATATTGTGGAAGACAAATGACATGCAAAATATCCTCCACTGAAATGGTCTCTTATGTTATCCGACGGGCAATCCAAACCATGTGAGTGAAAATCACAGCAAATCACCTTGACCTAATCCTTCAAAAATACAATAGCTATGCATATCTAAAGAAATCACACCCAATTGTAGATCCTCATAAAGATAGGAGACAACAACAGCCTCTCCTAGGATGTTTAGTTTCCTTTAACAGTATAAACGTATAGGTTGTGTTTACTAATAAAATTTTTTCCAGTTTTCCAGGAAATTTTTCTAGGAAACAAAAAACTAAAGAAATGGTGTTTACTAATTGAAAATGAAAATTGTTTTCTTGAAAACGTGCATTTCCATTTCTCATATTCACTAGAAAACATCAAAATAGCTTTCCAAATTATTCACTATAAACATAAGGGCCTTGTTGGATCACCTAATGATTTATGGTTATTACTTTTATTATTTTCAATTTAAGCCAAACAAGACCCTTGTTTTCAATTTTGAAAAATTTGTATTTAATAGACATGTTTTCTTATTTTTTCATGAAATAAATAAGAAAACTAGGAGCAGGAAAAAAAAACTATTTTTTGAAAGTAAAGATGGTCTTATGCTACTATATTTTACATATAATTCAATTCAGTCTTTGCAACTCAAATTGAATTTGCAATTGGATACTTGGTTTCAAAGTTTTGTTTTCTTTTCAACAACTAAAGTCTCTCTCACTATATATACATACATAAATAGATGCATACATAGTATTTTCAAGCAAGAAAATACACATGGTTAAAAAGTGTCAATATATATAATTTAGAAGTAATATTTGTACAAGGTGCTCAATGTGTATATATATTACATAAAATTTAGAAGTAATATTTGGACAAGGTGCTCAATGTATTAGACCATTAAAATTAAACTAAAAAATTTTGGAATTTGACTTGTTAATTTTACTTTTGAGTTTTGACTAAGTTAAATTTATTGGTCCAAAATTGACATGAAAAGAATTGAGTGCTGATTCAGCCTCTACAATTAGCCATGTCTGCCCCAGCTCAACTATTTCTTGGAACATTTACTCATTTCACTTCTATTGTATAGCAGCTATGACCTTCCATCATCAAGTTCCTGCTGACCTGTTTCTAATGGGTCATCTAGCCCCAGTCCTAAAAATTTTCGTTTCAATTCAAATAAGGTTTAACAATTAAAAGTAAATTTTGTTTAATTAGTTTTACAAAATCAACTGTAACCATCTACCTAAGTTCAGTTATTAATTTGTTTAATAACAGCAAAAGTTATTATGCAAGGCCACTCTTTAAACACATTTGTAACCTAGAATACAAATATAAACTCAATTCCTTTCACTGTATTCAAAGACGTGGCAGAAACAAAGAAAATTATATGATGAAGAGATTAGAGAATGTAAAGATTATTTTTCTATTTGATTAAAAAAAAACTTACCTTTCTTCTTTCATTTTTTCTCTATCCAACCCCAAACAGGTCAATTCATGGGGTTCTGGACGATTAAACATATGCAGAAAGTCCGCACACATATGCTCCTATTGGCTTGTCTCTCTGAGAAAAGAAAACGAAAACACAGCCTTCCCTACTCTCACTAGTCCACCTCAATGAATGCAATGTCTTCAGACTTACATTCTCATTCTTCACAAGGAAATTTTAATTCAGCACATCACACCAAAAGAGAGAGAGAGTTAACCTGACAATAATTTTCTCCTAGCCAGGCCGGAGGAAAGCTCCTCCTGCCCATAGACGTCATGTTATTAGGATGAAGTGTGAAAAAGAATAACCAATGATGCTGACACATGGCAACATAACACGTATCCTAGGTAACCAGTCAACTAAAAAAGGTTCAATATGAGAATTGCAATGACTATAAGAACATAACTGCATTGGAAACCATTTTCAAAGATGATCTTGGACAAAGACATTAACATCATGCAGGCAAAAGGCCCAAAACTACCACTTTTAAACATGAGCTTAGAGAATAATGTTCATCAGAAAATCAGAACTCACATATACTTGTTGCCATCCCTACCACCAACTCCTAGGAATCCCTAAACTTATACCAATTAGTGGTCCAGGTTTAATGCAAATAAAAAATGTTTATCAATTCGAACATCAAATATATACACATACCTTTTTCTAATGACATACACGATCTATCTTGAACATGGCTGTATGGTATCATATAGAGTTGACACATCGGGTTATGTTGAAGATAGGGAATTAGAAGAGTATAGTATTGTTCTTTTATGCAAGTTGACTATTGTTGGGATAACTAGGAAATGTTCAGTTTCAAGATGAAATTCTGCCAAATTTTCTTGTCTCATCCATTTTCTGTACATATGGATAGTGACCAAACAATATTAGATCAATAATTCGTGGAAGTTGAGTGTTGGAAAAAACATGGGACTTCTAACACAGCAACCACATAAGAGTGTGTTGAAGCATGTAAATAAGTTGTTCTTCAAGTTGTTTGTATGTTTAGTTATGGAATTCCCAATATTTGATAATGATTGACTTTATAGACCACAGTCATTATTTTTCATATTATTCAAGTCGACTTCAATATATTTTTAAATGTTTGAGCCACTGTTAAAATCAAATGAGTTGACAGGGCAGGTGGAATTAAAATAGATTCATTGTTAAATAAGGATAAATAAGAGGTTGTTAAAAAAATAAAGCACAAATAGGAGGCTAAGACCCCCCTCTCTGTGAATGTGTTTGTATCCCTAAAACAATCCTCAATGCCTTCTACAATTCCCATTCCAACAAAAAATTGAAAATCGCATTTCAATTGCAAAAATGAAGAATGTTCTAATTTTGAGAAGTAATATATGTTAATATTAAAAACATACAAAAATTAAACTATAATGTGAAAATAACAACCATATCTCCATGGCAGTAAAACTTGCATTTTAGATGGATGGTTTAACAAGGTTCTGGAAACAATAAAATTTGTTGGCATGCTCATAACAAGGAGTCAACCTTGGATTGAAGCAAAATTGCTATTTAGAAAGTTTGAATTGTTAAAATCACAAACAGAATTGCAATGTTAACAAGTCTACATTTTATCAGTTTTTTAGTGTCTTATAAATGAATAAAAGGGAAATATTCATTTTAATTTGTAACACTTGGGCTTCTTTTAGTGGACTTGGAGTCATCAGGGATGCCATTGCAATGAGCATCACTAATTGATTTGACTTATGAGAGGGCACTTAAAACAAAAAAAAAAAAATTAATTTCTAGATAAGATTCTGATTTTTACTTTTTCCTAAATTTTAAATAATTACTATTTTGTCAAAATCAAAAAGGAAAATTTGATGCACAACCTGAGGAAAAAAAAAAAAAAAGATTACAAAGTGATGCCTTCACTAAGGAACTAAGTAAGACCACAAAGAGTTATATCTGCACATAACCAAAAAATAACAACAAACACCAACAAAACCGCTTTGGCATTTGCATAGATAATAGTGTGTGTGATGCGAACAACAAAGGAACCAAAGCTTGTATCTTTTTGTAGACAAGAGTATTTCTATAATTTCTGGAAACATATGAAAATTTTCTAACTCTTGGTTATATTTTTTATTTAGTATTTTATTAGTCCTAAGGAGTAATTAGCTTTAATAGTCTTTTCTATTCTACATAGAATTAGTATCTTCTTATTTAGGAATCCAAGTCCTTAATGGATTTGAACTACTAGAACTCTATAAATAAGCATGTAATTTTTCAACATTTTCAATGATACTTCATGAATAAAATTCTAGCAATTTGCTTTTGATTGTGTGACTCAATCTCCCTTAGGTGTGACTCCTAAGAACCCTCAGTGTGAAGCTTAGATTTTTCTATCTTCTAGGCGTGACTCCTAGAAAACGTATTAGTGTGACTAATAGTTCCATAATTCCCAGCAGAAATCCACATCAATACAGACCTAAACAGCCTCGAAACTCAGATCCAGAACAGCCCCTAAGCTGCTCTGCATCAGTTGGCATCAGAGCTTCAAGATCCTAGAAGCTTTTTATTGAATTTTTCAATCATGGTGACTGTCAATGAAGTCAATGCAAAATTTGAAGCGTTTCAACCAGAAGTTGAAGCAAGCAAGAAATCTACAGATGAATGGATACACTACATTCCACATCAAATTAATTGAATATCGAGAACTTGTAAGGTTAGAAGTACCTGTAATGCATCTTGTTGAGGTGAAGAGGGCAATACTGTTGTGAGAAGCTCTATGCTGTTTCTTGCCACATCAAATGCTTCCTTCGTCTGTTCAGCTGTAAAGCTTTGTAGAGGAATATCATGCTGAATCTGCTGTGCAAAACTAGCATCAACTTCTGGTGCTGACGCAGATCGAGGTGGGGTGAAGATAGGCACTAAACTCTCATTGTCACGACCAGGGAACCGGATACCTCTCGATTTTAAACTCTTTAGAACAAAATAAACAACTCAAGAAACAATAATGGTTCAAGAAATCATAAATCTGCACTAGCCAAAGAACCATGGATTTATCTTTTACAGCTACACAGCACAATAAAGCACCTGCATAATTTTCTTATGTGATCCGTTCAGGATGAGTGATCTCATAAGACAATTTATTTCCACAGATATTCAAAGCAAACAAATGCTTTGTCAAGTTTCAAGTTTAAATATGGAACATACAAGCAGGCATAGCATAGCAGTTGTGTACCTAGTAACTTCCTTCAGTGAAGCAAGTTTGAGCTCTGCAAGTCTAGTTTATTTGGTTTTTATGTGACGGGGGAGGCTAACCCCCATTGTGGGCCTTCTGATGAACCCAAAAAATCTAAACATGGAATACTTCATTTACTTCTAGTGTATTTTAGCATATTTACCTGGCCAACCTAACTAAACTAATTTTGATTGTATGGCTCCTTTTCAATCAAGATAAGGGCTAAGAATCATATTTCATCGAGCAAAGAAGGCTTTAAGTTTTACTCTCTTAGAAGGCTGACAACCAAATACAAACCAACATCCAATTTATTGATCCAAGTAACAGGAGCTCATAGGAGAGAAAAAGGAGGACTGTGACTTGAGACAACTATTTGCATTAAACTCAGGATAATATTTTATTGCTGACAAACCAAAAGGTAATTGAAAATAGGACATTCCTATCCTTTCTGCAGTTTTTCAGGGAAAACATTCAAATTGTGAAATCAATAAGAAACATAAAAGAGGAATACCTTGTACGTTTCTTCATAAACAGGTAAATAACGCAACTCACTAGTTGACTCTCCCCATGCTTCAATCAGCATTAGAGCTTTATTCCTATTATTGACAACAGTCTGAGGATCGTCAATCAACTTCACCATTTCATCAAGAACCCTCTCTGCTGCCACCTCTGAGAAAGCCTTCTCACAATTCTTAGCACATGTTTCAAGCAACACTAAGGCTAAATATTGTATCCTAGCATTTTTTATCATGACCCTCTTCTTTATTCCACGAATCAAGTCAACGCTGCTAACTTTTTCATGATTGATCATATCACAGATATCAAGATTCATGGCCCAATCAGGCTCATCAAGCGTCTCTGAAGTGGCATCCTCAACAAGTTTATCAGCTTGGTTAGGACCTTGTAATAGCTCCTTCATCTTGAAGCTCATTGAGCTCATGCCTGCGCTCATCTTTCGACCCACCTCGGCACCTCCAATCTTGAGGCGTTCACCAAAAGCACTGACCTTCTCCATCAAATTGTCACTCATCTTCACAAACTTTTTGAATCCCTAAGAACAAATCTTCAAAATGTTGTCCCTGAAAATCCAATACCCAACATAAATCAGAACAGAATCATGCTATAACTCGCAGTGGAAAACAAAAGTGAGTTTTTCACATTTTGAAGTAACAGGGAACAGAGAAAGATTCAAAATTAGACTTCCTTTTTTTCCCTACACTTTTCACTTCAAAGTATAATCTAATTAGCGAATATTACAACCAAAACTAGAGCGGAGACAACAGAAACCAAACAGAGAAAACACAAAAATCCTCAAGACCCTCAGAATTCTGTTACTTTAATTGATGGGCTGAGCATATTACAAAAACCAAAAATTCAAAACCCATAACTAGAAATTTACTCTACAAACCCAAAATTCTTAATCTCCAAAAAGCCTACCTATTAATCAGAAACTCAAAAAACCTGATATCAAAAAGGAAAACCAAATCACAAGAAAGACCACCGAATGCTGTTTTCTAGGTCAATCTTGGTCTTTGAGCATATTTATTAAAAACCCAAACCAATCACAACTCACAAACCTCTCTTATCTTCTTCTTCTTAGACATGATCAGATCAAATTAAAGACAATAATCTGAAACCTATTTTATTATTCTCTTTGAAGAGAAATAAACGGATAAATACCTTAACAGTTTGCAGCTGTTGTTGTTGTTGTTGAGTCTGAGTCAGTAAAGACTGGATTATGATCTTTACTAGGAGCTTCTGTTTCGGTTTTTTGACTTGCAAAGAATCTTTAAAATAATACAGAGTAATGTTTCAGTTATTTTAAGGTATTTTTCGTTTGTACTACTCCCTTTCGCCGTTACGCGTTTAGATTTTTCTATTTTTCTTTTCTTTTTGTTTATATGGGAAGTATATGACTGAGCGGCCCACGTATATATACAAATATGTATACGTGTATATGTACATATATGTATATGTGTATTTGTATCATGACAACTGGTGAGGTTCAAACGGGAATGGTAGGCGTACTCGTATTGTAGGTTTCCTGCTTCATCTTAGCGCGTATTAGCAAAGTCAAAGTCGTTTGGTGGTGATGAGTCAATTTAAATTTTCCATTGTTACTGCCTCGCCCCTCTCGCACGTAATTGTTCGAGTCTGGCGCTGTGCATGAGTCAGGTGGGTCCAGGACCAAAACTTATATCCAACCTGTCCATTATTAGATTTCTGAATTCTGACCCAACCAGAAAATTTTCAATATCCAAGCAGGTTGGATATAGTGAGTTGGTTAAACTTGACCAAAACTTATATCCAACCCGTCCATCATTAGATTTCTGAATTCTGACCCAACCAGAAACTTTTCAATATCCCAGCTGGTTGGATATAGTGAGTTGGTTAAACTTTGAAGGGATTAGGGGGCATTTGGCATACAAGTTTGAGATTTATTGACTTACTAAATACTATAATGTTTGTATATATATATATATATACACATTGTTTTTTAACATAGTTCCAAATTGCACACTATGATGATAGGCTTCCAAGATTTGGACAATCTAATTATTATATATTTTAGCTTTTATTAACAAATTGAAACAATTTTGCTATTAAAGAAAATAATTTTTTTTGTATAGCTCAAATTCGACCATCCAAATATAAATAACATGATGTGATCCTAACAATCAAAAGTTTACCTTCTTCCTGTTGGATTGGTGAAGATAATTACAATTTGCATAAACAAACACAAACAACTATGAAATCGAAATCTCCAAGCAATAATTCAGCCTTAAACAATTTCCAAACACAAGTAGAAGCGATCCATAAACACAACTCGGTCATAAATCAACTCAAAACACAAGCCAAGGTAGTCGAATATCAATCCGAGCAAAACTATGAACCTATGAACTTTGTGATACTTGAAACATTACTTCCTCTTTTATTTTATTTTTTTAATGAATTTTTAACCAAGGCCTAAATCGACCTAACAGAATTGATGGTCAAATTTTGGAAGCAAACAAGTAACCCTAACTTCTATCTTACCTTTTTTCGAAACTATCCGGAAATGGGTAGTTCCAAACCTCAAGAAAATCTTTGATGGTCGGTAGTTCCAAACCTCCATCAACCTTTTCCTTTTAGCCAAAACTCTTCTAGCCAACCTCTCACTCTTAGCCAAGCCTATTTCTTGTAACTCTCTAACAATAGTAGCTCTTTCCGAGTCATAGAAGTTTCTCTAGCGATAGCCGCTTTTAATTATAGTAGTTTCTTTAGAAATAGTAGCGATAGTTTCGACCACTTTCGACCACGGACGATAGCCAAAACAACCACCTCTAACCTTGGCTATTTCCAACAATATCCACGGACATTAGCTCCTCTGTGATAGTCGTTTTTTGATGTCTATGGATTGCAACCTCTTGGGTTTTCTAGGCCTAAAAAAAGCCATATAATTCCTCTCTCTCAAGCAACTTCCCCTTCTCAATTAACAACATTGATTGTCTTCATCAAAGATTGAAAAAAAAGGTCCAAACAAGCAAACAAAAGGGAAACTAAGACTTTTAGTGCCAAGATTTCCTCTCTTTTGTTGATAATATTGATTATCTCTATCAAAGGGTTGAAGAATTTGTTATTTATCTTAAGCCTAGAAGGCATCCTCGACACTCCTAGAGAAACTACTTGGTCATTTTGACTAATAAGATAAGTTTTCGACACTTTTATATCATATTTACATTCTTGATAAATTCAAATGCATTTAGATTGATATTGTGAATGGATTCCATGTTATGACATATATATGATATTTGAGCATGATTAAAAATGCATCATTATGTATCGAACTCGAAAAGGTCAAAAACCCCGGTTACTTTTGAGAAGAAATAAAGTCAATGTTTAATGTTTTATGTTGGAGCTAGGAAGAATAAGCATGAACTTTAATGTTAATGGTTTTATCTAAGACAAGTGGTGATCCCGGTATGTGTATTTAAAATGATATTGCTCTCTTAATATGATTGATTAAAAGTGATGTTCATGCTTGTGATACTATTGATTAAATATGATATTCATGCCATGTTTTTTTATGTGGTTTGAATTTTGAAACGGATGTGTGGATATGATAAATCGATCGGGATTAAATCCATAAGTTAACATTGCATTTGGGATCAATTAAGCATAATGTATGTACACCTAATGAATTCTTCAAGATTAGCTTTAAAATTTAACATTGTATTTATGTCAAATTGAATATGATATATGATGTGTGTGATGAATTTGTCGGGATTAGCTATGAGAGCTAATGCTATATTTACATATGGTTGAATATAAGATTAAACCTTTTTATGTTATCGGCTATAGTTGTTAGGGACTCATCAAGTTTAGTATGTATGGGTTGCGATCATTAGAGACTCACCAAGATTGGTGTTTATGGGTTGTTATCATTAGGGACTCATCTATCTTCATTTTTATAGGTTGTAATCATTATGAACTCATCACATGTTCATGTTATGGGTCGTAGTCATTAAATACTTGCTAAGTTTAATGTTTATAAGTTGTAGTCCTTAAGGACTCATCAAATTTTAGTGTTTATGGGCTACAATCATTAGAGACTCGATACGTTTAGTGTATATATACTATAGTCATTAGGGACTTGCCAATTTTTTATGTAATGGGTTGTTTTTGTTAAGGACTCGATACGTTTAGTGTTTATAGGCTACAATCATTAGAGACTCGCCAAGTTTAGTGTTTTATGGGTTTTATTCATTAGGAACTACCCAAATTTTTGTGTTATAGAGTCGCAATCATTAACGACTAGCTAAGTTTAGTGTTTATAGGTTACAATCATTAGGGACTCGTTAGTCTTTTTGTTAATAGGATACAATCATTAGGGACTCACCAACTCTTCATATTTATGGGCTATAATCATTAGGAACTCATTAATCTTCATGTATATGGTTGTAGTTATTAGGGACCTGCCATGTCTTCATGTTTATGGGTCGTCATCATTAGTAACATGCTAAGGTTAGTGTTTATGGGCTACGGTAGTTAGGAACTCGCTAGATTTTATGATTACAAGCTATAACTATCATGGGCTCTCCATTACTTAGATATTTTTCTTCTTTTATCACAAAGTATGGAAATAAGATTTTAACTAGTCTATGTCTCAAAATACTCTTTAACTTTATGCCTTATGAGCTACAACCGTTAGGGACTTGTTATTTTTTAAACATATTCATTCTTTTATTTTAAAGTATGAAAATAGGCATTTGACACGCATGTGTCCCCAAACTAACCAATGGTTTTCATCTTTTGAAAAGGAATCCATGGTTTTCATGATTGCTAATATTATCATGGTGAGTCCTAAGTGATCCTATTAATTGTCACTAAGCTAAAAGGTACCTTTTTAAAGCATAAATAGAACCTACCTATTCATATAATGGCTAAAGCCAAACCCTAGAATCATCCTACCTTGTTAGGAACACTAAGCAAGTCATATGTATTTAAAATATTGACTAACATAACTTGGTTATGATATTTGAAGATATGTGATAAAAGAGTTCAAATGTTGTTTAAGATAATGCCAATGTATCCAATCAAATTTGAAACTCTTCAACATAAAAAAAAAAGAGACTTCTATAAGATGGGTTTTAGAGTATCCTTTAGGCCTTAACTCTTTTCAATCAATTGACAATGATACTAATAAGCTCTTAGAATGCTGGGAACTCCTAACTTCGGATGATAAATAGATGCTCAAGAACAAATATGGGAACTTGTCCGTATTTCTAGAGATACCAATAAGCTCTTAGAATGCTGAAAACTCTTAACTTCAAATGATAAATAGATATTCAAGAACAAGTATGGGAACTTATTTGTATTTCTATAGATACCAATATAAAAACCAATGTCGAAAGCCTTAGTTCCATTATGGAACCCCTCATACCGATGTTTCACTATTGCGGACATTAACATTACTTTTATCCTAAAGAAGTATCATCGGTTACTTCAAATATCGAATTCTCTATACCATTTATACCTTTACCATTGACA